GATCTTATCATATATTAGGATGAGTTCTACAAAAGAAAACATTAAATAATTGTTAAAGTGTTGTAAGGAATAAGTCAATAAGATAATTAATTTAAAAAACTTAAGATATTTTACTACCTTTTAACTTTGTTATTTACAATAATTCTTTGATGATGAAGTCTACCATCACTTAACCAATGCTTTGTCTTTGTCCATACATGCGTGGGCTTTGTCTTTGTCCATACATGCGTGGGACAACTTGCAAAACTTGTCAAAAGCACTGTGACCAATTTTTTTCCAAAAAGAAACCTAAGTCCTATACACTCGCTTTCTATATGAAGGCAATGTCACTTTGAAAATTTAACTTACACCCCTCAACTTTGACCTAACACCCCTCAATTTTTATTATTTTAGAAATACCTTTGATGAAATGGAAAAAATTTCAGAATAAAATATCTGGTATAAGTAGTGAAATTTTTGGCACAGAAAATTTTTTCGGTATGGAGAAAATTTCCAGTAGGACATAGAAAAATTTTCGGTACTTTATAATTTTCGGTAGTGCATATGAAATTTCTGATATTTTAGAAATTTCAAATTTATCAATTAGTATCAGAAATTTTAATATACTGAAATTTTGGGTAGTTCATTAATTCAAGTTTTTTAACGATCATGATTTTTCCGATATCTTTGGAGGATTCTGATTACATCAAATAATTTATGTGGTCTAGAATGCATCGCCATTTGTATAAATTTGTGCTCCCCATACAATGTCCTCGACCAAGACATCCGATGGTGAAATCCCTGAATAAAGCCAAACTCCTTTTGAACTTTCGCCTCAGATACCTCCAAATCATCCATAACCATGCGCATCGCCGTCACATGGTTAATATGAAGAGGTGTGAAGAATGTACTAGCGATTGAGATGTGAAACAAGGAGTCGACATCATCCAATGTGATCATCATCTCCCCTAATGAAAGATAAAAGGATGATGTCTCTGGGTGCCACCTCTCAACAAAAGCTAACAGGAGGGAAGCGTCGAGCATGGTCAAGGAGTACTCAGCGAACTCCAGTAGATGAAAATAAAAAACAATATGCTCGACCTCATCAGGCATCTCACCCTCTGGGAAGTTCTTCAACTTCGAACCATGAGATGCGACCTTCAACACCGCACACTCCTATAAGAAGCAAAGTTAAAAAAAGTTATACATCACCTTTCAAACACTTGATCGAGCCATTATGAAAATTTTTCAATAAAAGAAAACAAAATATATACCTCGCCCTGTCATATCCTGTATGTGATATGCTCAGAAAATTCGGTCAGCACGGACCTGTCTGAAGGTCCTCTTAGAAAGGCTCCATCAGTGTGAACTGATGGCTCCATAGACGCACGGGTTATGGCATCTGTATCAGTGGGAGACACCTCATTAACCTGCTCAACAATCGTCTCCACAAAAGCCTCCTCATCATCCACAACAACTTTCTCAGCAACCACAATCTCCTCAACAACTGACTCCACAACAACCAGCTTAACCATAAGAGGAGGCACATCCACATGAGCAGGTGCCTCCATAAAAGCAGGTAACTCCACAGGATCATGTACCTCCTCGGTAGTAGAACCTCTAGCAGTCTGCCACCGAGGTGCGCGAAACTACGTCTGCTATTTAGTCAACCGTTTTCGGTGAGAACCGGTCATAACATGTTGTCCTGCCCGTAGCTCAGAAGCATGTGCCTTATCAGTTCAGGCTTGAGCTTCCGCTCTATTAGTCATCTTTTCTACAACGGTACCGTCTTTGCCCTTGGTACTCACTGAAACAAAGAATAGAGGGAGAAAAAAATGAACTATAAAAAATTTAGAAACTTTCGGTATTTTACAAAAAAAAAATGAATTATCGGAAATTTTGAAATATCTAGAACATAAAGTGAACTATCGGAAATTTCAAAATTTCCAATATAAAATGTAACAAAATAACCAGAAATTTTTGAAGAAATACCATAAATATCTTACTATTTTGCGAAATCTCCAGCATGCTCTGGAAATCTTCGGTATCACCCTGTAAATTTCAAATTTTTCAGTATGGTCCAGAAAACTTCGAAAGTTTGTGAAAATTTTTGGTTAGACTATTTTGGGCTTTTCATACATTTTGGAGGATATTAAGTTCAATTGTTGGGGTATCAAGTTAAAACCTATGTCACTTCCATTACTTGGCTCAAACAATTTATGACGATTCAATCTCATTTCTTCTGTTTTTCATCGGTTTTGGCCCATCAATAATTTTTTCAGATTGACTGAATTAGATTCAACTCCAGTTTTTGATCTAGTCGGTTGAACCAATCGATTCAATTTTTAAAATATTGGTAATAAATTATTTTCTTCTAAAAACTTATTTTCATGTCATCAAAAATATGCATTTAATTGTGCCTCGTTAAGTCAATTCAGTTGGTAGTTATGCAGAAGTTTCAAGTGCATGGTCGCATATTTATTTATCTTTAAAAATGTGAACTCCAATCACTAGACTATTTGACAAAAAAATACATTTAATTATTAAAAGATAAAAATAAAAATAAATATATATTGATCCAATCATCCAATATTATAAATATATTATGTTTGATCCAATATTATTTTATTTACTCACCATATAATTAACTTTATTTTATATAGGAAAAACTTAGATACAGTTCTTTAGATGTAATTTTTATTGTTTTTTAATAAAAATATGATAATTGTATGTATATATATAAATACAATATATATATATATATATATATATATGAGAATAATATTTTTATTGAAAAATTTCACCTATAGAATTATATTTAAGTTTTGTCATTTTATTTATTTTTAGGATATATTAGTCTTATTTTAGTATCGACAAAATTAACAAATAATTAAGCCAACTTAATTTATAATTGCATGCAGAGACATCATTAAGTAGGGTGTAAGTGTATCAGAAAAATTCAATTAAACCGATAGTTCGAACTAAATCAAATAGAAATAAAATCGATTGTTTCTAGTTTGATTCTAAAACCAAACTGAATCAATAAAAATCGACGTGATTTGATTTGGTTCTCGGTTTTAGTTTTTAAGAACCGCCAAACCGATGAACTGAACAAATAGAAATAATTACACTCTAAATCTTTTATTTCACCAAACAATAAGCCCAAATTTGTTATCGGTCTCCATCTTTGTTTACACCTCATCCCTTTCAACAAAATACACATGTATAACCAAACTCCAAAACATAGAAAGTACAAACCTTAAGTCACAAAAGACTTACTTTCACTAAATTAATACTCTCGTTGTCCGCCATCATTGTTGCTCTCACAACCGTGATTTTGACATTTTATGGTCTTCTTCATGTTCAAGTTATCTTAGTTAACTTTCATATTTTCTATTACCTTTTTTTTTCTCTCTTCATCTTCAACAAAATTTCTTTTAATCTCGTTACAAAATAGTTTTGATGTGTCTTTGAGGTGTGAAACATATTAATTGATATGTGTTTTATTGTGTTCTATTTGTTAAGATTTCAAATCATTTTCCAACATTCTGATTAGGGATGTCAATGGGGCGGGGCGGGGCCGGGGGGACACTTCCCCATCTTTTTCCCCGCCATCAAATTCATTCCCCGTCCCCGTCCCCGATCTCCGTCACGGGGGAATTTCTATCCCCATCCCCGTTCCCCGCGGATCCCCGTTCCCCGCGTGGATCCCCATAGATCCTACATTTATTCATTAATATTTTATTTTTTTAAAATGTTTATATTTTCTATAAAAATAAAAAGCACAAAGAATTCACATATTTATTATGTTATTAAAAAATACTAGTATTTGACATTTATTTTTATAAATACATGAATATTTATTTATTTATTTTTATAAATACATGAATATTTATTTATTTATTTTTATAAATAAACATAAAGGAAATGACTAAAAAACCTAATCTAAAATATATATATTAAATTAACTATATTAAAATAATAGGCGGGGCGGGATCCCCGCGGGGCGGGGGGTGTATTCCCCGTCCCCGTCCCCGAAATGCTCTCGGGGGAATTTTTCTCCCCATCCCCGCCCCCACGGGGAAAAATTCCCCATCTTTGGGGCCCCGAACGGGGCGTTCCCCGCGGGGATCCCCATTAACAGGTCCAAACTGACATCCCTAATTCTGATGTTAAATATTAACTTTTATATCTGTAATACACTTATTTCATGATGCAATGAGAATCACCTCACAATTTCGAATGAATTAAAAGTAACTTTTATTTTGTTTGAAAAAATAAAACATGAAATAAATTATATAAAATATATTATTTTAAAAAATGATAACATTAATCACATCTAAAAAGACGATAGTAAAAAATTTATTGATGAATATAATATTTAAAAAAAAAGGTAAATCAATCAACTAAACCAAATGAAATCGAAGCAAATCTATTAATTTGGTTCAATTCTATTTTAAAAAAATATTAAAAATCAAACTAATTCTAATCAATAAAAATATCATCAATTCAAATATTTTTTTTAATAAAAAATTAATCCAAACCGATTCAATTATACTCTAATATTAAATATAAGAATAGAACTTTGAATCAAAAACATTTCTCTTATTCATCTTAAACTCAGTAGACTATTCATTTGGTAAGAAAAAAAAAACATTAACATACCTCACAATTTAAACTGAATACATACAAAAAAACTAACGAAATAAAATTCTACGAAAAGTATCAAATTAATATTCATCCTAACAATATTCATCCCTGCTCTCATCGACTAGTCTATCCTCGCCAGTTGCCACCCACGACCAATTTCTGACCAATTCGTTCTTCACATTGCCAGTTCCACCCTCTCTCTCTGCGCGAACGCTTCAATTTCGCGTTCAATTCTCACAAAATTCTGCTCAATTTCTCGCTCAATTCGAGTTTCCGAGAATCACCAGAAAAAATTCGTGCGCACGAGCTCAAAAATCTCCGCATCCTTGAAGAATTGTTAAACGGTGTGTTTTGGTTGTTTCCGTGGAAACATGATGATGGCGGAGGATCTCGGTGTGGAAGCGAAGGAAGCATCCGTTCGCGAGGTCGCGAAGCTTTTACCTCTCCCGGAGCTTCTTCATTCAATTGCATCGATCAAAGCTGATTACGTTTCACGCCAACAGGTATCAGATCTATTCGTTTCTCGCCAACCGCTATTATTTCAAGATACATGAATATATAGTATTGTCAAATAGCTAGAGGCAAGGTTTTAAAAAACTCTAATGGTGGTCGAGTAAAGGTTTTCGTGATTTCCGTCGGTACAGGTGTTGTGACACTGATTGCGGTCGTCGCGGTGTCAATTTACCACAACTTGTTCTTCCATATAGAAAACAGTAATAACGGTATCGGCATCTGCCAAAACTGTTTTGTCGCGGCGGTATTTGCGGTCGCGGACAGTATTTTAAAACCCTGGGTAGAGGTAGAGGAAAATCTAGAAAAACTATATGAGAAACTGTAAAGAAAGAAAGACCTAGAGATTAATGATTCGGATAGATACATGGCATAGGCCTGAACATTGTCTCGTCGTTTAATCTATATAGACAATCCTACTTAGTGGAATAAAGCTTGACTGTTGTTGCAATTTCAAATAGCGACTATAGCTCCCCGCATATCATAATTTGTACAAATCACCATTTCTTACAATTTGAGAATGTCAACACGGAACACTTTGTATTGGTCAGATAGGAGATGAAGCCAGGGGCTCATCTATAAAATTTATAACTAAGTTCTATAGAATAGAGTTTTAAGGAAGGGATAGATTTTATTCTTAATTTTTGATATACAATAACTCCAAATAGTGAGAAGATTTTGCACTTAATCTAGTCTTATGTGCATAATCTTCTCACTATTTGAAAGAGTTCATTAAAGTTTATACCTTATGATATTGGGCTTGTGTATGTGATTGAAAGAAATTATGGAAACAACTCATGATTAAGTATATAGTTGATGCCTAACTATTTCTGAAAGATGGTGAAATATATGTCCTCGTGTCTCTTATTTGTTTGAAGTGATTGGTTTTAGTTTTGTATTGTGATTTAGCAAAAGCTTAAAAATGTTTGATTAATTCCAATTCCAAAGGAGATTCATAAACAGTGGTAGATGGTTTAGAGGACAGGCTGTTTGCCTTGCTTAGGCATCATACGGAACAAAAATCTATTGCAACTTTATTAGGAAGTGTAACACTACATGTTTCTAGTACCGGGTATGACATGAGTTTTGGAGTACCCATCACGTTTGTTACAATTAAAGAAAAGAGAATATATTAATCATCTAAAAACTGCATTAAATGAAAAGCTGTTTTGAGTAGCTTCTAATAAAAATCATTTTCAATTGGAAATTTAAAAAAAAAGATTTTCAATACAGTGAACAGGCACAATTGTTTTTTATTTTATTGTAAAATACCATCTAAATTATTGAATGCCAAAATTATCAATTATCCTAAAATTAAGAAGATAATCATAAAAGAAAACTTCATTGATTTCCCTAGGATATAAAAAAAAACTATATTAGTAACATTAGAGAAACATAGGAGAGTATAGTTTTGTATCTTCAAAACAGAGAATCATTTTAAAATCACTGCAATAAAAAAATTTAATATAAATAATAGTAAGATGAATTAAAATCAATATACTAGGAGTTCGAGAATTGAATGATAAGTAGTTAATATATATTAAAAAATATTAAAGAATAGATTACTATTTTGCAGTTTTTTTATTATATACTAAGATCACGTTTACATAAATTTCAACAGGATTCTTCATAGCATTCGATTCTTGCAAAAATTGATTATTAGAAATTAGTTTTGATTTATTTTATTAGTAACTCACGTAATTAGGTTTTTATAAATTTTCATCCCAATAATTCAAATTAATTTCTTGTTATTTTGAAGATATGAAACTGAAATTTTCTTGTTTATTAGTGTGTTATTCTAATATAACCTTAAATTTTTTACAGATCAGATATTTAATGATTCCAAATTTTTTACTGTAACAAGGGAAATTGTAATGCATAACAAACCCAAATAAGTTGTAAGAGTCTTTTATTCTATTTCATAGAAAAAGAGAAATGTGGATCGAAGTGTAACATATATGTAGCACCGCCACCTCTCTAAAAAGGCATGTCCGTGTCGGTGTAGGACACCGACACCCTACACCGACATGATGCTTGGAATTACTGTCAATTTATTATTTCTTTCAAATTATTACCGGTGTTGATGTGTCAGTATCGGTGTCGTGTCTGATATCCGTGTCTGTGTTCGTGTTTCATATAAAATAGGATGGGTTTTGTTTAGGTTTTAGAAATAGATGGTTTCTTTTGGTTGATCAAAATAGAAAGGATGTTAGAGTAATTACCTCACTGAAAAACCAATACTATCAAAGTATCAGATTGTAGATTATCATGTTTTTAATTAACTGTTTTCTAAATGAATAGGATTTTTTTGATAAACGTGTCACAAAATTTTCTTAGATTTTAATTGATTTAAAATTCTGACAATTATATTTATGTTGTGTTTTTTCAGTTTTCATTAGATATTTAATTATTTGTTTAATTTTATGTTGTTTGACCAATGACTAAGTGACACAATATCCCTCTTGAGTTGATTACCTCTCCGAGCTTTAAAGCCATGGCCTATTTATTTATATAGCTTATAGCAAATATGTAATAATTTTTTTGGGTTGGGACTCTGTAATGACACTTACAGTTATTAGATAATTTTGTTTGTTGTATATCTCTTAATCATTTACAACTGTTGCAGCTATTTTATACAACGTTTTGTTGCCTGAGTCTGAGTGTTTTTCTTTTGATTATTTTCAGGCCAATGACGCACAGCTTAGTACAATGGTTGCAGAGCAGGTAAATTCTTTTCTTTCGATCAAATAAATACTATCTGGATAGTTGCATGTTATTGGAAGAGTTTAACCTTTTAGTAACTGCAAACCTTAGGACTTTTTTGTTGTTGCAAAATGTTGTGCATCATCTGCAAAGTCAGTGTGTATGTTTTGGATTATACCTTAATTTGTTTTCTGAGAGGTTTTTAACAAAACATAGTTTCATTTAATCCATGTAACTGATTGACCTCGTCTAGTTGGAAAATGCTATTGTTTCCAAATTGTTCAAAAGTGTGTCATTGTCTGAAGCTTTTTATAATTGCAAAATTACTTACTGATGAGGAAGTTTATCTAATTTTAGCACATTTGTTTTTATTAAAAACTCTCTGCAGCTTTTATCAGTAAATAGGAACTATAGATAGAAAAGCAAGTAACTGTTTCCATAGAGAAATAACGTTATGGGCAGATTTTCTGAATTAAGGAGTCTGTAAGGAACTAAGAGATGATAAATAGGTTCATACGAAAGAAAAAAGATGCTCTCACCAGTCTATGAGAGCAAAACACTTGACATAATCTAACTTCGAAAGAACCCCTTGGCTCTGTTAATATCACTCCATCTTTGGCAAACACCAGTGAACATAGACTGATGATGGGTAACAAGCTACAACTACTGTGCACCTAAACTGAAGGGCAGTTTATATTCAAAATATCTAAAAACTTGGACAGCAGATGGCATGGCTGGTAGTATTTGTGAGATTACTGTTTCATTTTTATGTCTGAAGTCTAGACTCTAGCCACCGAACATGAATTGCATCGTACCCTCAGCTGTACTTTATATTTAATCAACTTGGGCATCACAATCTCATATCTTTTTCGTGCTTTGCCTGAAAACACTTAACTGCAGGTTGAGCAGTCACAGGCAGGACTGAAATCACTCTCCTTTTCTGAGAAGACAATAAATCAGCTTCGGGAAAACTTTCTCTCCATTGAGAAGTATGTTAAAAATGAGATAGACTGAAACTGTTTTGACTTCTTTGAAAGTGGGTGTTTTCTCTTTTGTAAACTCACACTTTTAATATCTTTCTCTTTTAGCTTACTGTGATTTTCCTGGTGCATCAGTTTATGTCAGGAATGCCAAACATTAATTGACAACCATGACCAGATAAAGATACTTAGCAATGCAAGAAATAACTTAAACACAACCTTGAAGGTACTTTTTCTGTCTTTCATCTAACCTTTAATTATTGATTAAGAAAATGCTAGTCTCACACTCATTCTACCTTGAAGATGCTTTTTCTGTCTTTTAATTCACCTTTAATTATTGATTGAGAAGGATGCTAGTCTCACACTCATTCTACATCATAGTCTTAAGAGATGTTATAGAGCTTCCCCTCCCTGTTTTTTCCTGTAGGACTGAGCTTATCACCTACAATTATAACAAAATGGGTTATTTTCTCTCACTTTATCTCGTGTTGAGTATTGTTAAATGCAGTTCTCTATTGAGTGTTTCTGTCTAAAGTGTTGCTTTCACTTTGTCGAAAGTTCATAATTTAATTAATCTATCATAAGTAGAATGGAATTGATACCAGTTTTTAGTAAACATGGTTTGAACTTGGAACCTAGTTGCATTTATATGGGCATACTTCATCTCTTTTATGGTTTTTTGCTGACTTCTTGGTCTTCTGATAGGATGTTGAAGGTATGATGTCCATCTCTGTTGAGGCAGCAGAGGCTCGGGATTCTTTGACTGATGACAAAGAAATTGTCAATACTTACGAGGTTAGGCTGGTCTTACTTATCCTGCAAAATATTGATTTTATCATAAACAATAGTTGTCTGGCTGAAGCCTTATTTTCCATTTTACTGGTACAATCAACTGATATTAAAGATTTGAAAAAAACAGGATCTTTATTGAATACTCTGCTCACTATGAGCTAGAGGAACGAATTACAGAGCTCAGGGAATTTGGGAGTGTTAGTCACCCAGTTTGGCCCTAAGCCCAACAAGTAAGATGGGTAGGGAATTGATTACATTTGTGGTACTCCTGCCTAGGGGTTTCACCTCTTTCTCAGGGTGAATCCTGCCACTGAACGACCTTTTCTTCCTATGTAGTTGTTCCTTCTGTCTGTCCTATGTTATCATCCTCCATGGCCATCACTCTACTATGTTCATTTTTGCAAAGAAGCCCTGGCTAAAATCCTTATAGCGAAAACACAACCCCTTTTTTCCTTTCTAGTTGCTTAAAACTCCTCTTTTTTGTTGTTGTCATCACATTTTCTTCCTATTAGGTGTTTTATGTGTGAAAAAATAATAATTAAGATTAGAGTGAGGTAGAGAGAAAAAATCATGCGACTTTCCCTCCCTAAAGGTAGCAAATCCTAATCCCTCTCTCTTCCTACTATGTACTGGAGTCAGTACTTATCCTTGCAGAAATTACATTATGTTGCAAACCTTTCACTGCTATTCTGTATCCTCATTCCTTATCTAGCTTCTTGTATTTGTGGGACTTTATAGGAGGCCTCGACTTTAGGTTCTCCCCAGATTTTTCCACTCTGCCAAACTGCAACTTCTTTCCCCCCAATTAATTGGGCCAAATCCATTAGTTCTGATAGATAACTCGAGTGAAAAATATTGAGCCAACATGTAAGCTCAGCCCTTACATCCCTTCACCCCATTCAATAAGATTCCGGTAAGATAATATTGTGCCATAATATTCAAAGGTCTGGTAAAGACTCCGAACTACTATCTGTATCACTGCGTACTCCCCCGTCTTATCTCAACCCAAGAAGCAGCTCATTGTGTTTTGTATGTGGGTGGGTTGATAATGTCTAAAAGGCATGTTCTTCAATGTCATACAAGTAGGGTTTAGTATACATGTCTTTTACCATTTGTACAAGGATAATGCTCTCCCTTCCAGTGCTAGCAGAACTGCTATCATTCTTTCTGACTCTGGTACTCTCGTGTCAAGAAAAATATTTCTATACAATATTCACTCTAATGCATTGTAGCCCATAAAGATGAGTATTTCAACTTTCCTTCAGCATCTTTCCTCTGTTTCTCCCTTGTAGCTGTTATTTGGAATAACTGGAGGCAATCTTTCACTGCTTTCCATAATTGATATTGCCTCCCCTTTCAATCCTGCCAACAATCTATATCGTATTCTGACGACAATGTGTTGTAACAGGCAATGCATAATTTCCTGCACAACATTTTCATTGCCAGAGACTTGGTTTTTCATTATTTCTTTCCATCAGATCCTTCTCGGCTTGTGCCCTCAAACCCTCTACGCCTCTCCTATTCAATTCGAATGTCATTCTTCTTCATCATGAATCTAGATCACTCTCCCTCATACTAGCTTTGATACCAATTTTACAATCAATTGATATCAATAATGGATAAAGAAATAATCTTCATTGTATATTGAGGTCTATATGCTAAATGCGAGCCAGAGCAAAGGAATTACAAGACACAGAATTCGAGGCCATTGACTCTCACTCTCTCAATAATCAATGCCTTCCGTATCTTTCCCTCATATCCTTTCTCATATGCATTCTATTCTATTCTATCATTCAATTACATTTATTTATTCTTTTATTTAACTATAACCTCTCCCATTCTAGCCTATTCACTCCTCTCGTAAAATATGATCTTTTAACTATAGCTGACCTACCATAATATCTTCAAATTTTTCTTATTTTGCAGAGGTTAACAGCTTTGGATGGAAAGCGAAGGTTTGCATTAGCAGCAGCAGCATCTCACAAGGAAGAAGTTGGAAGGCTGAGGTTTGTGTCTACTTAAGTTCTGTTGCCCCATTCACGGGCTTTGTGTGAACCCTGGAGGGGGCAACCACATAATTTGGAGTCAATTTCAATATGCACAATCCCTCATTTATAATCATGCATTGACCCACTGGTGTTCTTAATCAGTGGTTTCTTCATTTTTAAACATTCGTAAAGTGAGGATTGCCCCAACTTATAAACATATTTTCAGGCCATATTCTATCCGATGTGTGGATTTCTTTAAAATATCCCTTCACGCTCAGCACTATCGTGCTTGGTGCGTGGATATAAATGTTGGGTGGTCCGACAGCGAAAACTTGATAGGAGGTGGTCCATCGGATCTTGGATAGATTCTGATACCATCTTAAAATTTGGGTTGGACCTAACTCAATTTTACATATTTCCAGACCATATCTCGTCCGATGTAGGACTCTTTAACAATACTATACACTATCCAACCACAACTATTTATGGACTTAATTTCTAACGGGATCTATTGTTAACATCTTATTCTTGTATTTATTTTAGGGAATATTTTGAAGATGTAGATAGAACATGGGAGAACTTTGAGAAGACACTATGGGATCATGTTGCCAATTTCTATAAACTTTCTAAAGAAAGGTTTGTTTCATGTCTTGAATATGAATGTATCAAATAATGTTGCTTGTTGTTTTACTACGGAAGTGCTTGAACTTTGAGTGCTATTTAAGATTCAAATGTTTTGTTTTTTCTATAGATTTTAGGTTTGACACACATTTGAGTATGATGTTTGTTAGATTACACATTTCATCTATATCATAATCCTTTAGCCTTTATTTAGATCCTTGTTTTTCCTCCCGTATTTGTTCATGCTTCGGATGTACTTTCCTGGGTGTGAGAAGATGTGTTATACAACATTGACTAGAGATCTTAGAATGTGTGGGTTGTGCCTAGTGTTGTTAAATATCCGGTATAGCACTGGTATACCGGTATTGCGTATCAGAATTTTGGCTATCCGATACGAAAGCAGGTATAGCATTTCAATTCCGCGAGATATAGGCGCTTTTCCAATATACCGATATACCGGTTATGAATTGAATTTCGGAACCAATATAATAATAATAATAATAATAATAATAATAATAATAATAATAATAATAATAATAATAATAATAATAATAATAATAATAATAATAATTTTTTATAATAAATCCTATTAAAAAACATTAAAGAGGAGAATGTGATGAGGTGGAAAAAAGTAGAATGTGAAGAGGTGGAAAAAAGAATATTAAAAAATTAAAATGTTAAGAGGTGGAAAAAAGAATATTAAAAAATTAAAATGTTAAGAGGTGGAACATTGAAAAAGTAAAACATGTATCTGTTCATTCTTCCTTCTTCCTGTTCGTACATTCTTTGGCTGTTCTTTTTGTTTTTAGCTTTCTGTTTTAGTTGTTGGAACTTGAAATTTTTAGTTTAATGTCCAATTTTTTTAAATATCTGTTTATGTAGCTTTTATTTGTGTGTGACATGGTTTATTTTCTACATAAATATTTATTTTAACCGGTGCGGCTTCCGCTATTTGTCCGCTACGCGATCCGATATTTTTCATATCGGTTTTTTGGTGATCCACCATTGTTGATATTTGACAACTAAGGTGAGGATTGCCCCCACTTATAAACACAACACATGCCATATCTTTAAGCAATGTGAGACTTAATCCATCCTTTCAAACCCAATACAATGAAGATGTTGGAGGCTGCAATGAAGGCAAGCCAAATGCCGCAATTTAGGCGACTAAGGGCAGACCCCAATGAAGGCTGAAGTTCAAACACACCCTGTCACACTTGGGCCTCAATGAGCCCGAAGTGTGGACGATGTGGAAAGCCTAATGAAGGCAAGTCAAATGCCGCAATTTAGGCGACTAGGGGCGGACCGTAATGAAGGTGAAAATTCAAACACGCCCCCTCATGCTCAAGCTTCAATGAGGCCAGAGCGTGGACGATGCGAAAGCCCAATAAGTGATCAGAATAGGCTCTGATACCATCTTAGAATGTGTGGGTTAGATCTAACTCATCCCTACAAAACTTGCTTGTAAGGTGAGGATTGCCCCCACTTATAAACACAATCCATGTCATATCTCTAAGCAATGTGGGACTAAATTCACCCCTTTAAACCCAACAAAATGAAGGTGTTGGATGCTGCAATGAAGGCAAGTCAAATGCCGCAATTTAGGCGACTAGGGGCGAACCACAATGAAGGCGGAAATTCCAACAAGAGATATGGCTTAGGTAGCCTTTATAAAGTTTGGGCAATCCTCACCTTATAGGTTACTGGTTTTGTGAGGTGAGTTAGGTCTTAAGTCCAAATTCTAAGATGGTAACAAAATCTATTTCAAATTCAAATTAGTTATTGGGCCAATGTCTCAACTATTGCACTTACATATTCACCATCTTCTAGATGTTCAGTTCTGATCGTGAAGGGTTGTGTTGAGATCTTGTTATTCCTCTCTCATTAATCTACACTTTAGATGTCTAGTCATGAGCATGAGATTCCTACATCGGCTAGAGATATGGCATATGTAGCCTTTATAAGGTTTCAACAATCCTCACTGGTTATTGGAGTGAGTTAGTCCTTAAGCCCAAATTCTATGAGCACTTTTTGATGCATTGCATCGTTAAGCATAAGTTATATACTGTGTTTGTGGTATGATCCTCAATTCTCTCCTTTATTTTAATCATGTTATTTTATTTTTTCATGTGTTTGCAGCCCACAAACTTTGGTTCGTGCTTTACGGTATGTTGCTGATAGACAATTGCATTTTAAAAATTTTCCATTTCTCACCCCTTTCATTATTATCTTTGTTTAAATGATCGGTTGTATGATTGGAATTTCCAAATTCAATGTAATCTTGTTTTCATTGTGTTTTACCTATTCTAGGGTTGTTGAAATGCAAGAAATCCATGATCAACAGGTTGCAGAGGAGGTAGCTGAGGCTGAAGGGGATGGTGCATTGGCATCAGCCACAAATCCTCATAGAAGTGCCATGTATGTTATAGTAGTTTGAACTGAGTTCCATTATCCTTGATACTTTTGCAATCTTAAAATCTTTAATAATGAAACCAACAACCTTAGCTGCCATCTTGGTGCATGATTTGCTTGATAGTGTGCTGTAATTTTTGTTGTTGTTCATTCTAGTAAGAGGATTTCTTACCATTTATTCATATACCTCTTTCTTCCTATGCTCTAATGAATTCTCTTATAATCCAAAACAAAGGCAGGGATCCATTAATATAACTTGGAGACTAATATTGGAAGGATAATTATTACTTTTATTAATATAATTAAAATATTTCATCCTTTTACTTGGGACTTCTTAAAAAGTATATTTGTACTTTTTTTGATACCTGCTAATTCAGGAATATGAAAACTCTGTGATTTAATTGATAGATCATTCTGAATGATGCAATGTATTTATCCTTAGAGGTTCTCTGTTACAGCTATAACCGAATTATTTATTCAGTTACTGACGGCTATGTTAGCAGCTGAATAACTGTATCTAACTGCTGCGTGAGAATAGAATGTGCTAGCGGCTATATCCATTACTCTGTAGTCTGTAGTCTAACATACCCTTTCAAGGTCAAGGTGGTTGGCCAAGTGAGTGGAGGTCAAATACCTTGAGCTTGTCTCAAGCAGAAAATAGAAGACACCTGTTTAGTGAGAAGATCTGCACACTGATCTTGAGAGGGAATGTGAAGCAGCTTCAAACTTTTGTTGATAACTTGTTCTCTAACAAAAAAGGTAAAGTACCACGCGTTTTGTCCTTGCAAGTAAAATATGATTACGGGAAAGAGTCACAATGCTATTCAGTTCGCCCAACAAAGTTTGGATCCATACAGTCTCTACAGTTGTGGCTGCTAAACTGTGGTACTGAGCTTCGGTACTTGATTAGGAAACAAATGTTTGTTTGTTTTTCCCCACAAAGAGACTAAGTCTGCACCAAAGTATATGCATGATTCTTAAGTTAGCACCTGTCATCAGGGTCAGATGTCCACTCAGCATCTGAAAAAGCTGTTAAAAGCAGAGGAAATGTAGATGTTGGCTGGAGATGGTATCCATGTATGGAATTGCATTTTAGAGTAGCAAAGAAGTTCTTTTGACCTCTGTCAAATGTAAGAGAATGGGACATGAACTGGCATACTTAGTTGACAACAAAAACGATTTCATATCTCGTGTTAGTAGCATCTGAGCAATGGTCTGCTCCCTGTATAAGCTATTTGCAACCTCCAACCATTGGAGAAAGGATGCTTTTGGCCACTGTCTTGTTAGATCTTTCTAGCAAGTCGCAAATGTATTCGGACTGATAAAGTAGTCAAGTTCTCCAATTTGCTTGAGAGCAAAATTCAAGTGCCATTGGGTGGATAAGATGCTGAATGAGCTGAATAGAGTTGTCTGTCACAATTATATCAACGTATACAAGCTTGCAAACGGTATAAAAAGATTCAAAGTAAGTGAACATTGATGGGTGTTATTTATTGCCCTCAGCCAGTTAAAGGTCACATAGAGAGCCTTATGCAATCTACAAACTAGGCTGTTATCTATCTGCTTCAAGCCCTTGAGGATACTCCTATACACTTCTTCATCTAAAACCCCATTCAAGAAAACATTATTCACATCCAATTACACCTTAGAGGCCAATTGGAAGTTACTGCCACATAGAACAACTTGGGCTTAAAGCCTAACGGAATACCACAAAATCTGCGAGTTAGGGGAGAATTTCAATCCTTTTAAGCTCTCTATTTAGGCCATATCTATAGGTAACAAGCTCAAACAACACAGAAACAGATATAGGATATACTTTGAGCCTAACTGAATACCACAAAATCTGCGACATAGAATAACTTGGGCTTAAAGCCTAACTGAATACCACAAAATCTGCGACTTAGGGGAGAATTTCTCAATCCTTCTAAGCTCTCTATTTAAGTCATATCTATAGATAACAAGCTCAAACAACACAGAAACAGATATAGGATATACTTTGCTACTATCTTAGAATATGAGTTTAAGTCTTAACTTTACCTCAGAAAACTAGCTTGTATGATGTGAGCTGCTCAAGTTTATAAGCAGTATCTAGGCCATATTTCTTGGCAATTTGTATGGTTGCAGTGTTGTTGTTTTCTTTGACATCTTCTGTCACAGTTGTCAAAGTTGTGTCAGGTGAATCCAGCACTCTGGTTTTTTTACTCCATCTTTTCAATATTCGCTCTCTCTGTCCATCCTATCTGGTTCTCTGATCATTGCTGGCCTGTCTTGTTCCCTGTTCCCTTTTTAATTTTTCCCCTTCAATTTCTTGTTTGTTTATACCACTGTCTTCATGTTGGGATGGCCGTTAGATGGTTGTGATGCTGTTTTCTTTGGAATTTTTTGTCATAGTTGCCATCATCGTGTCAGGTGAAATTTCCTTTGACCTTCTCTTTATTCCTAGACAAGAGTTGCTAGTCTGTTTGTCTTTAACACTTGGATGGTTCCCCTTTTTCCCCTTGCATTATAGTAGGTTCTAGATTTTACAAATCAATGCCTGATTTTTCTGGCAATTTTACTTCTACACACACTAAAAAGTGATTTGATTTTAAAATGCAAATCAGTATGTTGTAGCAGTTTGAAAACATTTTGCCTGCTTGTTTTGTGATGACACTTATGCCTGGAGTTTTATTGTGGGTATTTCCTAACCTAATACTGTCTTCTCAGGTTCATTAAAAGAGTGAAAATTCAAGGATCATTTTTCCAATACAATGTTATCGATAAAACTAATCTGTTTATTTTTTTACCCCCATATGAGTGTTCTGCAAAGAGGGAAATTCTCTCCTTGTCATTACTTAATTTTGTTAATGCTAACGAATCACAGAAAAGCTACAAGTGGGATGTCTTCGAAAAATTTAACACAACAAAAGTTGAAGGTTCAGGGGAAAGGCTATAAGGATAAGTGTTACGAGCAAATTAGGAAGACTGTTGAAGGACGATTTAACAAACTTCTAAATGAGGTAATCACTAAGTCTTACTAGTCTACACCTCCAGTTCTCCTTCTTCAAGAATTGCAGAGTTAGATTGTCTCAAACACACACCTCCATAACTCTTCATTATATTATAAGCAATTTATTTCGTTTTCATTTATGTATCAGCTTGTCGTTGAGGACCTGAAAGCAGCATTAGAGGAAGCTCGAATGGTATGTTGACTGATTGAATTTAAGCTTCTGAGATGTTTACATTTTCTTCAGTGACTTTTTAATTTTATTCCTCTTTCTCCCAGCCTATATCAGTTGTTTGTTGTTTTCTTCTTTAGATAGATGGATAATCATGCAAGCTAATTTTGTATACTCAAAAATGCTGTTGTGGAATGGTAATTAGGCAACATTGCTACTATCCTTAAGATTATAAAATTACCCAAATTAGTGACATTCATAATTAAACAATCCACAATGCACATGTAGCCATACGTGGCCATCATGCAATAGTGCTGTCATAGAATGGGATTAACTTTGTACCGAAAAACAAAAGAGTAGGATTAACTACCTTGATTGACAGTATACAATATAGTAGAAAAATGAACTGTATTTTCCACTTAATGAAAACCGTACAGTGAGAATGAATAAATAAAAATACAGAGTCGATTCTGCAGATCAATCTTGGCCTAAGAATCAGGGTAATATAAATAACCCTCCTATAAATGCTGTAACTAAAAAAGAAATAAATAATCACAGAGCCTGAGTGTGGATTGCCACAATACTATCAAGGAAAGCCTTGCGAATTAGGGAAGTTATAACTAAATTGATAACTATGGTGATTAAATGAAGATTGATTGTAGGTGGTTGTTTTGAGAAAGAGGTGATTCGTTGACAAGTGTTTTTGTTGAATAGCATATAAAATGAGAGACATAAGATGAAACCGTGTGTTTCAACTACACATCGGAGTCTCTTTATGTAGGCTTCAAGTAATAAATGCAAATAATGATACTCTACTCCTAATTTATATGAATCCAACCAGTTCATTTTTATTTTATTCGTCCTTATTTAGACAATTGTATTTTATTTTTAACACTCCCCTCGGGGTATATAAATCGTATGCACCAAGATTTTTACACATATAACTGATTCGATGACCTCTCAAGAATTTAGTGAAAACATCTTCCAATTGATCATCGAAATTTACAAATCGACTATTTATGTCACCTGATTCATCTTTTCCCTTATAAAGTGACAATCTATTTCAATAGGGCTATCGTACCCCTACTTTTATAAGTTTTAAAGCTATACGGGCTGACCCTAACAAGTTGAACCTAACGAGTTGAACCGAGTTATTCTTGAACTTAAAACGAGTCGAGTTTGAGCTTAAAAAAAGTTTGTGTTGGACTCGAGCCAATTTTCGAGCTGATCCAGTTATCGAGCTGTGATGGGTTCTACTCAACTCATTTCCAGCCCTAGCTATACCCCATCCAGATTTCAGAGCCTGTTTGAAGCTGTTAGCCATGCAAATAAAATGCCAGAATTCTGTTTGAATTTAACTTAATATAATTGTATTTAAGAGTTGACACGTACTTCAAAATTTTCTTTGAAGTACTGAAGTCTATTATACTAACTGGTTAATGGTACAAATTCATTACTCATTATATAGTTCTTCTCTAGATCTCATGTTTATTTAATATGTAAATGTTTCGGTAAATTGTTAAGTTTTACCATTTTTGCTTCCGGTAATTGAGATCCAGTTTTGTTCCATGTTACTGATTACTGCTGCAATCTTGTTACTTTTGTGGTATATAGATTGGGGAGGAACTTGGAGATATCTATGACTATGTTGCCCCCTGCTTTCCTCCAAGGTTTGAATATACTGCCTTTATACTTTTCTCTGCTTCTTGACAGGATTTCTACCTAGTGCTAATTAATAATCTCGCTATGAGAATTGGTTTGCTTCCTTGTATAATTTCTTTTCTTTTTAGGTGTGATATTTGTTGAATATAATGAATACTCTTGTATTATTAATATTATTTATATCTATTTAATTATATTTGTGGGTCAGTAAATTTTGTTAATATACAATAGTGCTTTAAAAAGAGAGAGAGAAAGAGTGCAGAGAAGGGGAAAATAGAGAAGATGCTACCATAGATAAAGACTATTTTATTATGTACTCTGTCATAAACTAATCTTAGACAGCTATGCTAATAATTGAATTCTGATTGAACACTTTGTATAATTCGTATTCGATTCATGAACTACAAGTTACTAATTGGTTGGTTAAGCAAAAGCCACTTTCCTTTTTTACTCTACCCCTAAAATTGGAATCTAGGTTTATGTCATGTGATAAAAAAGAGACGCATATTTAAAGAAATAGACCCAAAAGAAAAATCAAATAATCAACCAGTGAACGTAGGCAACAAGTACTCGTAGATAGCTCTAGAGGTCTTCTACTTTTTTTTTTTTGCAGCTCTCTTGTTGTCTGAATACATTTTACTTAATCTAAGGAAGCTTTTGCTTGTATGAGGCTTCTTTATGTACATATTCTGTTCTAATTCTGTTTTTTCAATTTGGGCAGATATGAAATATTCCAACTAATGGTAAATCTGTACACTGAGAGGTTTATTCAGATGCTAAGGTTGCTTAGTGACAAGGCCAATGGATTAACAAATATCGAGATATTAAAGGTATTTCACTGTAGTTTTATTTATGTACAATTTACTATTCCTCACATGCTTGGAATGTCATCTTCTCCTTATATAATGGTGATCGAACCATGATTTTTCTTAGCATTTAGGAAGAATTTACTAGCTTTCCAATTCATTCATATAACGGACAATGGTGTGATACTGTCATGTATTCGGAACTGACTATAGAAATAAGAAAAAGAAAAAAGAAAGTATTTGTTGGCTGAAAATGAAAAGAAGACATAAAATATCTCTCCTCCAAGGGTTTCTTGCTATCGAAGGGTCTCCCCCTACAGCTTTACTTCCTATTAATAATTCTCACTACCCCCTCTAACTAACTACCTTCTTAAATTTTAACTGATCAGAACTACTTCGTTTCCCCGTACTGTTCCATCTATATCCTTCTTTCCTTACAATACCATCTTTGGGCTGAGTCTACCATTTATTTAATACGTTTATCATTGTATTATAATGAGCTTTACTTTTTCCATTTCATTACTGTACTTTGGTATAATTCCTTGCTACACGTAGATTTAACTATAAGCATTTCTCTTTTCATCTCTATTTTCTTTTTCTCCTCCTGAACTTTTATGTGAAAATATACTTATTTTTTTTCTCAAGTAGGTAACTGGTTGGGTGGTTGAATACCAAGATAACCTGATTGGCCTTGGTGTTGACGAGTCTTTGGCCCAAGTCTGCTCTGAGAGTGGTGCAATGGATCCTCTTATGAATTCTTATGTTGAGCGAATGCAAGCTACAACAAGGGTAATCTTGGCTTTCTTGTTTATTCATTTTGCTTTGGTATTCTATGATGTTTTTTGGATGATTTCTTTATCTCATGAAGCTTTGCTCTTATTGTTTTCTAGAAATGGTACTTGAATATTCTGGAAGCAGATAAAACACAGCCCCCAAAGAAAACTGAAGATGGGAAGCTATACACTCCAGCTGCTGTTGATTTATTCAGGATACTTGGAGAGCAAGTTCAAATTGTCCGAGATAATAGCACTGATGTCATGTTATACCGAATTTCCTTGGCAACCATTCAGGTAATGCCAGATAAGATATAGATGTAGTGTTACAGTTGGAAAATCTGCCCTTGTTTGCTGCCACATTGACGGTCTTTTATTGGGCCACTTCCTTTTATCTTCATTGCAAGGGTACATCTCCTTTAGTGTTCTGTTTAGTGGGTTGGTTTTATCCTAGAGAACATAGAGATTTGACATTTGTAGTGCTTATAATGCTTGGACAGTTCTCATTTGCAAGTTGGCTCAGTGGAGTTGAGTTGGGCCTAAACTTGAATTCTAAGATAGTATTAGAACCTATCCTAGATCTGTTGTCAGGCTGACCGCATCATCCGCGCTCAAGGACCATTGGGCATGGGTGTGAGTTGACGTTTTTGAAATCGCTACAACTGCAGCCACTAATAGGGTTAGCTATTCGACCAATTCTTCTTCCTCCACTGCAGCGGTACATCACCTATACTGTGCTGGGTTGAGAGGGGGAGGTGTAGATCCTATATCTCCTAGAAAAATAGAGTTTCAAAGCTATTGAGAATCTAGAAACCGAATTAGATGTATATTGATTTTTTGATTCTCTAACTAGAGAACTCAGTATGACTTGGATGTACTCAATCAAGATAAGGTCTGTAAAGCGTGAACTGCTTGGGCAAACCTGACCTCACGAGCTGGTTTTGTTGGATAAATTTGGCTGTAACCTCAAATTCTAAGAGTAACTGATGTGCATCATAAGTTTATGCGATGTAGACTATGATCTTGGTAAATGCAACGTAAACTGGTAGAATTTGGAAGATATTTTTCTCGTACAACAATTAGTTTTAGCATCTTTAACACAATGTGTTGTGTTTAGTGCTTATGTTAGTTATTCTGTTTTTGATGGCAGTGTTATTTTACAGGTGATGATTGATTTTCAAGCAGCTGAAAAGAAGAGACTTCAAGAACCAGCTTCTGAAATTGGTCTGGAACCTTTATGCGCTATGGTTAGTGTATTTTTTAATCAATACCAGGCTTATACTTTTAACACGATTGTTTCCAAATGGTACTTTCTGTTGATATAGCATTAATTTAATGTTTTTACTTAGATAAACAATAATTTGCGCTGCTATGATCTTGCAATGGAACTAAGTAATAGCACCATAGAAGCTCTTCCTCAGAACTATGCAGAGCAGGTTAGGAGCTTGGTTTGTTGTTTTTCCGGTTTCATTACTTTTGTAAACATTGCTTTGTTGACATTTTATTTATTTTGTTATTTCATTTAAGTGAAACTCACATAATTCTATTGTTGAAACCACAATGGTAGTGAAGTGGAAACAATGTCCTGAATTTTTATGGCTAGAACTCGGAGGGGGGAAGGGTGAGAGGTGGACGGGTCAGGGCGGCGAGGTGGAGGGGCATCATGAATAGTGGTGGAGGCGAGGGGCATCAGGGGTGGGGGTGAGAAAGAAAGGGTGGTGGTGGGGGAAGAAGGGAGAGTTATGAGGTGTAAATTGAAAACATCTAAAAATAATAAAAATTGATATCCAATGGTTAAAAAAATGGGACAAGGCTTAACCGGCCCTACTTGTGAAAATATGTATATAAGCACAGTCAGCCAACAAGTTAATGCTTGTTGTAGTTAGCTGATGTGTAAAATGTTATGTGTGGTGGAGGCGAGGGGCATCAGGGGTGGGGGTGGGGGTGAGAAAGAAAGGGTGGTGGTGGGGGAAGAAGGGAGAATTATGAGGTGTAAATTGAAAACATCTAAAAAATAATAAAAATTGATATCCAATGGTTAAAAAAACGGGACAAGGCTTAACCGGCCCTACTTGTGAAAATATGGATATAAGCACAGTTAGCCAACAAGTTAATGCTTGTTGTAGTTAGCTGATGTGTAAAATGTTATGTGTGGTGGAGGCGAGGGGCATCAGGGGTGGGGGTGAGAAAGAAAGGGTGGTGGTGGGGGAAGAAGGGAGAATTATGAGGTGTAAATTGAAAACATCTAAAAATAATAAAAATTGATATCCAATGGTTAAAAAAATGGGACAAGGCTTAACCGGCCCTACTTTTGAAAATATGGATATAAGCAGTCAGCCAACAAGTTAATGCTTGTTGTAGTTAGCTGATGTGTAAAATGTTATGTGTGACTGTGGTAACCAACTCAGTTTGTGTAGGATAACTGGATAAGCACAACTATATATAGCTGATGTCATCAAATGCATACAATAGCAATTCATTTGCAATGAACACATAAATTCAACTCTATCTCTTCTCTCAAGTTCCCTATTCTCTCTGTTATACTAGTAAAATAAACAGGAATAACAAACATCCTGGATAATCAGAATTCAGAAACTTAGAATAACTTAGAAACAGATAATCTATACTTCATAGAAACAGAATATTAAATCAATAGTTTTTTATTTATTTTCCCTAGAATAGACTATAACTTTGGGCCCACTGCTCTGCCTTATTTGTCGGGCTCTGCCATTCACTGTCTGAGACTTGTATCGAAACTTGTATTGTCCATCAGCTCCTTGTGATCCTTGTAGTAAGAGAATATCAGTCCCCTGCAATTTCACTAAAACATTCTTTTTATTGACTTTCTATACATTTTCTGTTTCTTTGCAGGTTAATTTTGAAGATACTTGTAAGGGGTTTCTCGAGGTTGCCAAGGTATAAAAGAGTGTGCAACTTTCTATATCCTACTTGTTGACTGTAATTAATTTATTACTTGATATGTTTTTCCATAGTTTCCTTAGATAGATTAGATAAGATTTTCACTACACTGTAAGTTGTATATTGCCTACAAAATTTGACTAAATTGTAGTATAGATGATTGAAAAGAAATTTAAACTTGACTTACTTTAGATTTTTTGATATTTATTAGTTTTCTCCCTCATTTAACTTCTCTCTTAAAGAGGAGCAAGGAATGCACAATCGATCCCATTTAAAAAGATAGCCATTCAACTTGGAATACCTTGTCAAAATCGGGAAGTGCTAATACCAGTGCGGTACATAGCTTCTCCTTAATTAGTGTAAAACTCTGCTCTTGCTCAAACCCTCAATTAAACTTTCCTTTCTTCAAACATTTTTTAATAGGCGCAGTGATAGTACTAAAATATTTGATAAACCGCCTATAAAAGGTGGCCGCCAGACCATGAAAGTTACGAACCTCTGTCACAGATTTAGGTGCAGGCCACTCCCTTATAGCACTCGCCTTATCTTCATCAACCTGAATCCCTTCTTCACCAACAACAAAGTCGAGAAAAAGTAACTTGTTGGTGCTGAATGTATATTTTTTCAGATTAATGTACAACTGGTTCTCCTGAAAGACTTGCAACAATTGCCTCACATGTTACAAATGTTCTTTCTTTGTCTTACTGTAAATCGGAATATCATCAAAATAAACCACCACAAAAAACCCAGTAAACGGACGTAGAACCTGATTCATCAACCGCATGAAGGTGCTAGGGGGCATTTGACAACCCAAAGGGCATCACCAACCACTCATACAATCCATCTTTGCTCTTGAAAGTTGTTTTCCATTCATCTCCAAGTCTAATTCTGATATGATGATAGCCACTACGCAAATCTATTTCCGAGAACACCTTAGAACCAGCCAACTCGTCAAACATGTCTTCAAAAAGGGGAATTGGGAATCGATACTTGATAGTTATCTTATTAATGGCTCGATTGTTAACACACATTCGCCAGTGATTTCCTTTCTTAGGGACTAAAAGGACTGGTACTGCATATGGACTCATGCTCTCACGAATAAATCCCTTCTTCAACAAATCTTCAATCTGCTCCCTTAAAATCTCATTCTCCTTGGGGCTCATACGATAGTGAGGAAGGTTTGGTAAGCTAGACCCCGGGATGAGGTCAATTTGATGTTGGATATCTCGCATGGGAGGCAAATCATTTGGTAATTCCTCTGCAGTCAACTCCTTGAAATCCTTGAGGATCTCTAGCACTTCTTCTGAAATCGTTGTTTCCTTCTTTTCAGTATTCATCAATCCTTTGATCACCACTGGACAGAAACATTCAGTTTCTTTTACAGCCTCATCAAGCTCCTTTTCACTCTGTGTCATCACCAAGAAACTAGACTTCTTTCATTTTGGATTCTTATCAAAGTGCAAAACAAGAGCCATAGCAATTTTATGTGTGCCCCATGTAAACATCATCACATTATCCCTTCCTCGATAAGTGATATCATTATCAAACTGCCAAGGTCTACCAAATAAAATATGACAAACATCCATATCAAGAACATTACAAAGTACCTCTTCTCTGTAATGTTTTCCGATGGAGATAGGAACTCTGCAGACTAGTGTTACTCGAACTTGTGAGCCCTTGCTTATCCAACTGAGGGTGTATGGCTTCACATGGGATTCTGTGAACAATTTCAAATAATCTACCAATTTCTGCGACACCAGATTCTCTGTGCTGCCATTATCCACAATCAGATTACACACTTTGTTCTTGATAGAACAATGTGTTTTGAACAAATTTTTGCGCTGCCCTTCATCTTTGGAGGCTAGTAACATTCTCTGCAACACAAAATTAACCCTCTCATCAGATTCTTCCTCTGCAAACTCAACATCGACATATTCATCGCTCTCAACTGCAAAATCTTCTCTTTCTTTATCTTCCTCCCTTTCTTCCGCAACAACAGCGACTCTCCTTGTTGGACAAACATTCGATTTGTGGCCTCTTCCGTTACAACGATAACATCTGCCTATAGTGGGTCTAGCATATAGATTATTCTGCCTTTGAGTTGGTGTTTTACGCTACTGCACATTGCTAGAGCTGCTAGCCTCTTTATTCCCAGGGTTGAAATCTCGGGGAGTTGCATTTTTTTCTTTCTCCTCTGTTGATTCAGAGTTATTCTGGGGTAAGTACATTCTAAAAGATGAGAAATTTCAAAGAGATTTTCCCATCAATTCTTCCTTCAAAGCTAAACTAGATGTCTTAGCTATGGTCCATACAGTCTGTAAACCCATCTTCTCTTGCAAGGATCCCTTTAGGCCACTTATGTATCGAGCCACTTTCAGGCTCTCTGATTTTCCCAATTCATTGCGCTCAGAAAATCGCAGAAAACTCAATTGTGTATTCAGTCACAATTCTCTTGCCCTGACACACTTGATGTACATCTTATAAAGAATTTGTTCATAATCCTCTGGTAAAAACCGCTCCAGCATCGATTGTTTCATTCTTCGCCAAGTTCTGATTGGTCCATTCCTTTACCTATGTCTTTGGACAACAAGTTTATCCCACCAGACAACTGAAGTACTTTTAAGCCTGATTGCAACCATCTTGACTTGCTTGTTCTCAGGGGGAGCCCATAATGTCGAAGAACCTGTCGACACCAATCTACCAATCCAGGGATTCCTCCACTCCCATCGTTCCATAGAATAATGAAATATCAATCTTCACTCGATAATCGTGATTATGTTGATTTCCATGATCAACGACCTCTTCTTCGTCTTGTTCTTCTTCTTCAGAACTTGAATTGTCAGCAATAACAGCGTGATGAGGTGATGATTGTTTCCATCTCGTGGAACCCTAACATGTTCTCTTCCCTTGTCTCTTCGCTGATTTACATTGTTGTTGTTGTTCACCTGGTTTGTTAAATTCGCCATTTGTTCAGTCAAAGCAGTTAGAGTCGCGATAAAAGCCATGGTAATTTCCTCAAGATCTGCTCTGATTATCGGTTGATCCGTCATAGTTGTCAAGCTACAAAAAGAACGGGAGAAAACCTGCTCTGATGCCAACTGACGCAGTAGGAAGTCCTAGTGATTAGCAAGCGCTAAACCTAGAATAAAGGAATGGGTTTGCAAGCGTAAAACCTATAGTAAAACATAGGGTTGCAAGCGCAAAACCTTTCAGATAAATTGGAGTCCACCAGCACAATGGAAACTTTGGATTCTATTATAATGAAAGATAACCCTTATGGTCATGCCAAAGGTCTTTAAATACATAAAACAAAATAGTCCTAATGGGCCTTATGGGCCTTTTAATCCAAAACAGAATTAAATAAAACGAATAAAATAGAAATTACTTAAATATTAAAATAGAAAACTGCTTAAATATTAAAATGATTTTTGACGCGCAATATCTTCTTCGATACGCGCAGCCAACCTTCCTACATCATTTAAAGGTCATTGTTACCTTCCATACCAACTTATTTAGATCTTTAGGAAGCTAATTGTTACATGTTGACAACCTGACAGGCTAATTGATTTGCTAATGTGTTCTATTTTCCTGGTGCCCATTTTTTTCCATTGTTAATCAGACAGTCAATCCAATATTTGCTCAATGATTCCCATATTCTTTTTATATCATATCTGAACATGGATCATGGATTCATTCTCCAAAACGGCTAACAAAAAGTATGGATCTAAAATTAACTAATTGACGGTCTCTTGTGCTGGAAAGCAGTAGCATGCCTATCTGTTATGCTCATATGTCAGTTCATTCACTGATCACCATGTGTTTATTTTGTTTAGAGAATATGTTACTTCTGATTCATATTAGAAATATGTTTGTTCATTGCATTTATCTTTTTGATGAGTATATGTTGCGTGTAACTTTGTAAAAGATTGTATTCTGGTAATTTGAATATCCTTCTTGGTGATAGGAAGCTGTGCTTCAAACAGTAAGTGTAATATTTGAAGATCCTGGTGTCCAGGAGTTGCTGGTCAAACTATACCATAAAGGTACATCAAATTTTCACCATCACGTAGCTTCCTTCCTATGTGTGTGTATGCTAATAGTTTTTTCAAGGGTGAGATATATCCTTATTGTTGAACACTATTCTTGTGCTTTAACGAATTCTTCTACTTTAATAAGAAATGCATTTCCTGAAGCATTACAATATAATAGGCTATGCACTATTGTTACAAGTTTATTTAATAAATTTTGATTATTGTTTCTAGTTCCTTATGGTTTCAGCTAAGTAATTGTGTATTTTGATTTACTGTACCTTGCTATCCAGCATTACCCTGTTCTATTGCTAATTTTCAATGTAAGAACAGTAAATTTATTGTTTTCTTTTATATCTAATCATTCACGATCTTTGTATTTGACATGTTATAAGAATGAGTGGATTTGACGATTATTTTACTAATTTTTAAAGAGTGGGTGGATTTTCTTATCTCAGTAATTTTTTTCCACTTGATTTGCATATATCAGAATGGAGTGAGGGGCAGGTTACTGAATACTTGGTTGCAACATTTGGCGATTATTTTACTGATGTAAAAATGTAAGTAGAATTTCTTATCTCAGTAATTTGGTTTTGCTTAGATCTTCCACACGTCCCATATTCTGTCAGTTTTTTGCTCTGGCATCTATATGATGAAACTGGTAATCCTGAAAGTTTCATCTTAGAATTTGGGGTAGGCCAGTCAAAAACAGGAAGCGTATGATACCCAATACCGACTGGAAATAAGAGCGGACAAAAACAGAGAGGCGCAACTCAGAAGCAACACTCAGAACCAGTAAACCCATGCCAACACTCAGAACCAGTAAACCCATGCCAAGAAGAGAACATGAGAGACAGCAAATCACAGAAACTAGGCATTGCTCCTTCGTATACTATCCTTAAACATTTATGCACGAACCTCAATTCCTCAAGATTTTGTTTTTCCATTCATTGGCTTAGCATTGAGGGGCTCCTGGGATCTTGGGAGCTCTTACACCATTTGACAGAACTGATTAGAACTAAAAAACAGAAATCTGGTATAAAAAGTAGATTGTAACATAATACAAAAGACTAAAACCCTAATATATTTATAAAGGATCAACTAAGATACTCTTAATATTTGAAAGTAGAAACTAATCCTAAGAGATAAACTAAGATACTCAAATAATATCAAAAAAATTCTAAGATATTTCACATATTCTAACCCTTCCAAAAATTTTGTAGCAAGTAATTAGTGAGCAAAAAATTGCATGACAAACACCAAAGAAAAAGCCAACGCAGAATGCAGAATCAGAAACAGCAAAGATTTATAATCCCAAAAAATATTTGTAAGATGCAGATGCAGCAAAAAAAGGGCTGGAACACGTGTGGAAATTTACACCAAAGTCCATTGTATACAAGCAACAACAACCAGAATACTAAAAGCAATGACGAAATGGTTCTTGAAACAATGCTTGCTACAACGAAGCAGTCGTATGTGGTCGGTTGGGTTCGCAATTGACTGAGCTAGGACTATTGAAGGAAAGCGGCCACTTTGTCGCGAAGAGTGTCTGACATGTGGCCATACTGATTGATATAGGATTTGTGTGCAGGAACTTGAAGTTGTTCGTGGAGGTGCATGGGGAGATTGTTGACAGTGAGCTTTTGGGGACGACTAATCTGGAGGAGGCGATCATAGTGGTGGGGTTGCTTTGCAGAAAGGCCATCAGAAAAGAGGCGGTTGGCGACAATGGTGGTTGAGGTGATTGGGAGAGTTGAAAAGACGTTGAAAGAAAGGATCTCACCACAGAAAGGGGTGGAAACCAGTTGTACCAAAGAAGTGGGTTCAGTAAAATAAATTTTGAATACAACTATTATTACATTCTCAAACTTAGGAACTCTTTAGCAGAATAGGGACATGCCAGGTCGCAGAGGATGAAACCAAGCTTTTATGGTCTACGAACAAATATGATCATGATATTTAGATAAAATAAGAAGTAATATGTGATTGTGGTGTAATCACAAAGTTTGAGTGAGGGAACAAAATTTTCAACCTGCTTGAAAAGAGGGAAACTGTATTTTTCCAGAGGCACATTAAAGATAAACATATTATAGCCAAAAGAGGGAAAATATATGCAAATCTTTTGTTGCAATTTGATCCCTCCTCTTTTGATTATTATGGAAAATTAATAGTTTTAACTTCCCTTATTCTCAAGGTACATTGAAGAAAGGTCTTTTAGGAGGTTTGTTGAAGCTTGCCTAGAGGAAACAGTGGTTGTTTATGTTGACCGTCTTTTAACACAGGTTATGCTTTCAATAAAAAAACAGCCAGTTCTTATTTAAGGCAAAATTATGCATATATTCTTCCATAAAAGCTTCCTGTTCATTTGACTTAATTGAATGTCTCCCTTGTCATTTTAATTGCAGAAAAACTACATCAAGGAGGAAACTATTGAACGGATGAGGCTAGATGAGGAGTTCATCATGGACTTTTTTAGGGAACATATCAGTGTTTCTGTAAGTTCTCTTTTAGACATTCTGTCACTGTTGTTATCGGCTTCCAAGTTTCTTACTCTATTTTCCTTAACATCCTGGATTAGAAAGTTGAAAACAGAGTGAGTGTACTTAGTGACTTGAGGGAACTTGCTTCAGCAGAGAGCCTCGATACTTTCACACTCATCTATACAAATATACTTGAACATCAACCTGACTGCCCGGTAAGACTATGCCCAATATGATTCAAACAATTTATTTAATTCTATGCCTTGCAAATAGAGATTTTAGTTCTTTATGCAATAGAAATGAAATACTGACTTCGACAAGCAATTATTGAAAAGTTTTTTTATATGATTAAAAGTGTATGGTGATATGTACTTTGAGTTGACCTGGTTAATGAATGTGTTTTGATGCCATTGTAGCCTGAAGTTGTTGAGAAACTTGTTGGTCTACGAGAAGGAATTCCTCGGAAGGATGCCAAGGAGGTAAATAAAATTTAGAGTTCATTTTACTCTATCGGGAACTGAAAGCTCTTTTCCAAAAAAAACTTAGGTTATTGAATTTGAAACTGTCACTTTTATTCTTGTTAATCAGGTCATACAAGAGTGCAAAGACATATATGAAAATTCTCTTATTGATGGAAGACCTCCAAAGACAGGTTTTGTTTTCCCCCGGGTGAAGTGCTTAACTGCTTCCAAAGGTGGACTTTGGCGTAAACTCACTTGATGTCACGATTCATTCCTTCACTGATAAGATCAAAAAATTACTTTTAGGTGTTGAACTGGCTTATAAGTATGTTTGGACAAAGAGGGGTGTATAAATAAACTTGTTACACCAGCCTATAGTTTTTTGGGATGTTACTTGAAGTGCCATTTGATCTTATAGCTCATTTCCTTATATATTGATAGAGAATGAAATTGGACTTTAGTTTAATTGACTCTTTTAGCTTAAGTGTTTTATTTTATTATTGGGACATTAGAAATCATCAAAAATTAAATGAAAATTGTCTTTGTTATTAGATAGCTTTCTCTCTTTTTAGTGTAGAATATACTGCTTTTTATAATTTAACAATTTTAGTATCCCAACGAGGATTTAATTTGCCAAACTTGACACCCCTATATTTTGTTAAAGCCAAAAGTGCTCTTAGTAAAATATAGAAGAAATTATTCGAACGAAATGTTCAACATTTCATTCAAAAATTTTGATAACAAATCAAAATTTTGGTAGTTCATTTTTAAATTGCCGTATGAATTTTATAGTAAATTTTGAAATTTATGAGTTTTTATTGAAAATTTAGAAAATTTTGGTAAAAATGCATATATATTTCAAAATCAATGGTAAAAAAATTCATGAATTTTTATTGGAAATTTTGAAATTTTCAGTAAAAACGTATACATTTCGAGAATTTTTTTCCACAATAATCATCTTTTTCAATTTAAATTCTTAAATAATTATGTTTTCCACTAATTTACGCAAATAACCTCATGACGCCAATGTTATTTTTTATATATGTCACGATCCTGTACATCTGAAAAACTAGGCGCCACTTTACGTGGCTCTCATGTGTAATGTGTCTGAAAAGAAATCATACGAAATGACTCTTATGTGTTATGATCTTTTCTATAAATAAAAATTTCATTCTCCACCATTTTTAATATCTCTTCTCATTTTCTCTATAATTTCTTCTTTATGGCATGTGATATGATTTTCAAAAGGGATGGATATATTTGTTTCTCTGCTGTGCGTCTTAAGAGAGAGTTGAGTCAATGGTTAGACGAGAATATTCAAGATGAGGAAGTCATTAGAAGAATTCAGAGATAAAGAACGACCACCTCACTTGCGACTGAAAAACCTAAATGTTGGTGGAAAAATATCAAAAATGACAGGACGTAATGGTGATGATGTATGGATTAGATGAAACTGTTTTGACAGTTATAATTTCTTATATTCTGACATGTTAACTAATTGTAATTGTTATATGCGTTCGGTTTATTGTAACTAACATGCTTAATGTTTTTTGTGTTTGTGTAGTTGTAACAAATATGTTTAAGAAATAAATAAAGTTCAGTTGGTTTTAAAAAAATATTATAACGAGTCCATACAATTATTAAGTTGTATAGGTAGTTCTACGATTGAGATAATTATTTTGAATGTATCAGACTTACTACACGTGCTTTTCATTTTGTCAACCGCATCCATTTCAATTCTGATACGCACGCTATTGGGGCAACCCTTCTTCTTTCTTCGTATTATGTCGTTGTGCCAAACGACTCACTCATCCCGCAAACATCACATCACCGTAGCTCCCGATAATCATATGGCTTCAACACACCATGAGAAATATTATCTTTTTTCCAACCCGATTCAATTGACCAGTACTGTTGATCAACTTTCAATCACCCATCAGCCCACCATGACAAAGCTTTGACGACATGGGCAACCGAATTTTTGGCAGCGGATATTCGGGACAATATGGTGATCTGGTGGATTACATTGATCCCGATCGCATTGAAGTATTACAAAGGTCATCGTTCCATACAATAGGAACCTCAAAGGATTGCGGGCCAACGTGTTAGATGAGCACCATCGATCCAGACACAACAGGAAACTCAAAGGGTTGTGGATCAACGAGTTAGAAGAGCGCTACGGTACGGAACCGATGACCGTTACAGTGATTCAAAATATTAAAATATATATTTCTTATTTTTCAAATGTAATGGTTATTTTATTTATATAATAGTATCATTTTTTTGTTAATTTTTAATATTATTTAAAATAAATAAAAAATTAAAATAAAACATCTACACCTAGACGCCATATGAGATGACATGTCTTAAAACTATTATAGGCACCATCTCATAGAGTGTGTTCACCTAATTTTAACACATAGACGTCATGTGGGATGACGCCAATACTATTTTACAACTCCAAACCTGATTATTTAGGTAAATATTTTTAAATATTAGTTATTTATGTAATTAACTTGAAAAATATGGTTATTGAAGAAATAATTTCACATTTTGAAATTGCGGATAAAAAATTTCATTAGTTTTTATCAAAATTTTTAAAATTTCTGATATAATTTTAAAAATTTTGGCAAAAACTCTTGAAAATTATGATTTTTATCGAAAATTTTAAAATTTTAAATATTTTTTTAAAATTTCCAATATAATTTTAAAATTTCCGATAAAATCGTAGTTTTTAAAATTCAGAAACTTTATACAATAATATAATAATAAAAATATGCGAGGTGGCAAGATAATTTTTCTAACATTTAATACTCTTAAATTTCAATTTCTAACTCTTTCAATTTCTAACTCTTTCCTAGTTTATTCCAACTCCAATCATACATATTATTATTCTTTCATCCCTCTATATCTCAGTGCTCTATGAGTATTTTATCCTTCATCCGTTCCTCTTTATTAATATTTTATTGTCAGAAGCATATCACCTACACCCAAGTCAATCCACATACTTCATATGCAAGTAATCTCCCTCCATACACCTTTCAGCAAGATTTAACATAAGAACGCTTTCACATCTATAACCAAATAACGTCATAAGCTTAAAAAGAATACGAATAATGAGATTTATTGAAGAGTAAGGAAAGTTCTCAAGCTCGCTGATTCATTGAAAGAGTCAAGAGAAATTAAAAGAAAAATACGTTAAGAAAATTATAGAAAAATAGCCAAAAGAAATCAAAGAAGAAATTGTTATCTTTAAAATTAGTGAGAATGAAGTAATTTATGACACTATATTAAAACTTTTTCTCAAAAATATTTTAGATTTAAAATCATTCGGTTATGACTCCGACACATCATCTCTTTATGTCTAGATTGTAGGTGTCTCTACCACTGAAATCATTAGAGAAATGTTCTTTCCACTCTTAGACCATGTGCAATGGGTATGTTGAGTTTGAACTCAACATGTAAAATCTCCTCCAATGGGTGTTGAGAGAGGTGTTGAGTGTGTGTTGGAAGAGAGAGGTGTTAAGAAAACTCAACACAATTGAAGCTGACCAAGGGCATGACGTGGCAGCGCCTCATTGGTCTGGGCCAGGCGCGTGTAGCCCACTCGCTGGGGGTGAGAGTGGGTCTTAATCCACGCGGAGAGAGAAAGAGAAAAGGGATAAGTGCAGCCACGTGGCTGTGCTTGATTGGCTGACCATATTTTTATCCATTTAATACTTTGAACTCAATTATTTCGTTGCAAATTAATTTTTTTTTTTACCAAAATTCATGATTTTTTTTTCTCTATAAATAGAGACTTGGTTCATTTGATTTGGACACAAAAAAAAAACTAAGTTTTTCACTATCTTAATTTTATTATTAGTGTTTATTTTGAAGTTAAGTGTCTTTTTTTAGTGAAATGGATCCCAATAATCATTTTAACACTCAAAATTCTGCTAATTTTCCATTTAACCAAAATCCCAACAATTTTCCAAATCCCAACAATTATCAAAATCCCAACTATTATCAAAATCCAAATCAATTTTCCAACCAACATCCTCAAAACATACCTAATTTTGGTTTTCCACCAAATTTCAACCAGACATCCTCTGTTCCAAACTTTCAAACATATTATGGATCTATGCCGAGAAATCCATCTCAAACACCCCCGTTTAATGGTTATGTGACAATGGCGAATGCAAATTTTCCAAGTGGTGGTGTACCTGAATTTCCCGAGTTTTCAACACAACTAACTATTGGTGGCATGATTGTTTCTAATGAAGTCGGTCCGAATTCAGAGGATTCAACTCCTAAGAGCAGGAAAACTCAGCAACCAGCATGGAACACTGAACAAAATTTGGTTCTAATTAGTGGGTGGATTAAATTTGGAACAAGCAGTGTTGTCGGGAGAAACCAGAAAGGTGAAACATATTGGGGTAAAATTGCTGAGTATTGTAATGAGCATTGCTCATTCGATCCTCCGCGTGATGGACCTGCATGCCGAAACCGTTTTAATTATATGAACAAAGTGTTGGGTAAATGGATTGGCGCTTATGATGGCGCTAAGCGTATGCAAGGAAGTGGTTGGTCGGAGAATGATGTTTTGGCAAAAGCGCAGGAATTATATGCATGTGGGAAGAATGTTAAATTCACTTTAATGGAAGAATGGCACGCTCTCCGTGATCAACCACGTTATGGTAGTCAAGTAGGAGGAAATATTGGCTCAGGAAGTAGTGGATCTAAGAGATCTCGCGAGAGTGATGCATGTGGCTCAAACACTGTAGAATCCAGTGCTCGTCCTATAGGAAGGGAGGCAGCTAAAAAAAAGGGTAAAAAGAAAAGCAAGGAATATGCCTCGGAGGTGGTGGACAAAGAATGGGCTGAATACAAAGAATTCAAGACGAAAGAGCTTGAACGATTGGACAACATAGCGTTGATGCAACAGCAGGCTAACAATATAGCCTTGGAGAAGACTAAAACCAAGAAAATGAAGATGTATCTAAAGCTAACTTCCGAAGAGCATCTAGATGACCGGAAGAACCAGCTGTTGAAAAAGTTGGAGGCAGAACTGTTTGATAATTAATTTCAATGAAGTATTTGTCAGTGTTGTGTTTGCTTTAATTATTGTTGTTTCAATATGCCAGTGTAGTGTTTGCTTTAATTATTGTTGTTTCAATATGCCAGTGTAGTGTTTGCTTTAATTATTGTTGTTTCAATATGCCAGTGTAGTGTTTGCTTTAATTATTGTTGTTTCAATATGCCAGTGTAGTGTTTGCT